TAAATTAGGGCATATACAAGAACAATTTGTAATAAGCACACAAAATTTTAATTGTGTTTATTAAGCGTTCTTTAGGGTTCTTTTTTTATTTTTATTTATGGGATAGGGGGCAGACGAACAGACGGATCACCTGATGGTAAGTGATTACCGTTGCCCATGGACACATGCAACACCAGAGGGGCTACAAGTTTAACGTTTACCCAAATTTTTAAACGGGACCGTATTAAAATTCCATTGCCCGTCCGTCCGTTTGTCTGTCTATCCGTCTGTCACCAGGCTGTATCTCATGAACCGTAATCGTTAGACGGATGAAATTTTTACAAATGATTTTCTGCTGTCGTTATAATAATAAATGTTTGAAAACATAATAAACTAAATATTTATAGGGGCTCCCATACAACAAGCGTGATTTATTTGAGATTATTTTAACCTAATAATATTGGAGATAAAAGAGATGTTACTCTCATTGCTAGATATGATATACCTACCCACGGTTAATACCCACATAACAGGTACCCACAGGTTAATGACCGATTAATTTGCAGAAAAATAATGACAAATAAATAAATATAGAAGACACTTTAAACTATATGAGACTAAAGTTTCAATAAAGCATTTTTGTGAAACAAAAACAAAATGGAATAGGAATGGAATTCCGCTTCCAGCGTGTCGCCTTCTTACTAATGGCAACCCTTTGAAATTGGTATGTACCTAAGCACCAGCCGGCGGTCACACCATAGAGCAGAAAAAGAGGTCACACTGTATCTTTTCAGTTTTTCTTTCATTAAGACCTTGTTAAAGTAAAATTTTCAACGTTTATCATTATTATAACATGTTGTTTCCCAGTAAATGTGTATGTTGATTGGCAACAAACAGCTTATCTATATCAAACAGTTCTAAGTTCAATATTATAATGTGTTATAATTAACTAGGCATTACTACTGATCGACCACGTGCATTGTGCGTCATCGTGAGAATGTTATAGTTAAGAGGGCGCGTGCACCCAACATCAAAAATACTAAATGGGTTTCGTATAAAAAAAAATAAGATTCAAACAATAAAAAATTAGAAACTCCATCAAACTTCTAAATATTTTATAGAAAATATACAAAATGGGGATTTCACAAAGAAATCTTGATAGAAAAGACCATAATTACGTAAAGACGAAGCGATTTAGTTTATGTGAGCAGGTTCATTGCGATATTTCTTCTATTTCTTGTTGTTTATTGAGAAATATATGAGTCACTTTATAACCGAAAGAATTATGTAGTAATTTTGAATTAATCGTAACAATTGCATTTAATTAAAGAAATATAAATTTTAACGCGCAATTTTGCCATCCTCTTTTATGTATTAAGATTTGCATTTCAGTTAAGTAAAAGTCATAATGATAAATATTGAAATTGTTAGCATTAATACAAATCTTTTGAAATGTCCATTATTTTTTTCTCCCACGTTTTAGTTCGAAGGCAAGAATGGACGCAAGACATTATAATTTTTTACATTAAAAATTATGTAAACTATATCAACAAAATTATGAAATATAATTACTATAGGAATAATATGAAAATATTTATTTATCAGCGAAACATAATTATTTAGTGAACGAGATAAATTTAAAAGAAAATCTGATCGTGAAAAGTATATTATGGAGCGCCTAATGTCTTGTTTATATATTTGTACTAAAGTTGGTGTAGAAATTATTTGTTTACGTATCTACAATTATAATGACTTCTGAAGAAATGAAATTGACTTAACTTATTGTGACATTGGAATAAATTAACAAACGTTATTTACTCAAATATGTTTGAATAATACGAAAATAGAATAAAATTGAACAATAGAAATTAATCATCATCATCATCAGCCCTTTTTACGTTCCCACTGCAGGGGCTCAGGTCTTCCTTATGGATGGTTAAGGAGGGCCATGACCCTCCACGCTGGCCCAATGCGGATTGGAGGGTATTAACGACTGCAAATGCAGCCGGGGCCAACGTTTTAACGTGCCTTCCGAAGCACGGAGTAGCTCGAGATAATAATCTTTTGGTCACCCATCCCGTGACCGACCCTCGCGAAAGTTGCTTAACGACAACGATCGCGGGCCGCGGCGCTTATCCACTACGCCACCGAGCTACAATAGAAATTACGTGCTATTAATAAAAATTAATAACTTGTACATAAACATACACTATTTAATATGTTATGTAAACAACATACGAAAGGACTCGAAAATCTTTTCTTTGTCAATTAAAAATAAGAAAAGCAAGAATTGCATTGCGAGAAAAACATGTTGTTAGCGTCCTTCTAAAGGCCTTGTGTTAATTGTCATTCTAGTAAAATTAATGAGTTGATAAGAATTAATGTTTCATCGAAACCAATGTGCACGTTCCTTACCGGATCTTCGATAACATATCGATGATCTTCACTCGAATAATCAGTATCGTTAGATAAGTATTTATAGCTAATCGTCACCACAATCGGTCGAGTACTCGAACCTCATGAACCAATTGTTTATAATCTGAACAATAGGATGTCACCGATTTACTCTTCAATCGTGTGAGCATCCGTTTGAAACGCTATTTAAACGATATTTTCCCGTTAGTATAATATAATTAAAATATATCCCATTTATTGGCCATTATCGTGATTAGATATTGTGTTTGCATAAACAATTAGTTTTAAGAAATAACTAACGCAAGCCCGGATAAATAATTTATTTAACCACAGCAGAAACTTCGTATGGCCGCCCGCTTTTATGATATTTGGTATACGTGTAATTCTAAGCCTAAATTAATCTCACTAAACTGTACCCTAGGTATAAATGAAATCGTGTAAACCGCGCAGGCGAAGCCCTAGGTCATATTTGAAAAATATTTTACATAGAAGTCAGTGCTTCTTAAGTTTATACGAGTAATATAACGTGTTAATTTGGACATATGAAATGAATGCAGCATTAGATGTAATGGCATCTGTACTTTAAAACCAATTAAATAACTATCAATATATGATATCAAACAGTTTTATAAACGAAACATATGAGTAGCTTAAATTATTTTTCACTTTGTTTAAACCTTTAATTTAATGTTACGAAAACGCTGTGTTCTACTCTTATTTTGAACAGAACAACACCTTAAACAAACATTTTTTTATTACAATATTTGACTTGGGAATATGGATATTCAGCCAAATACAAATTAGATTCTTTTTAGTTTGCTTTAGTACATTAAATTGGCGTTAGTTTAGAGATATCCCGTTGAAACATACAGTCATATAAGTGGGATCTACTTAATTTTATTCTGTAGATATTACACTACGACATTAAAAGGCAAAGTAAAGTTATATCATTATATTTTTAAATCATATTTGCAATAAATATGAATGCATTAAACTTTAATTGTTAAATGACTTTTGTTGTCAACTTATTTTACGATCATACAATTACCCAAATATTAGGTAAATATTTATTTTGGCCGCTAAAGTTTTGTTAGGAAGAATTTTCTCAATGATTCATATGTCACAATTTTGTTTGTCGAACTTCGGAATTGAATAAATTGAAACCACAGATACGCATAAACTTTAAAACGAAGCTGTCTATTATATTTTGACATTTAAGAAATGTATAATTATTTTTATGTTCACTTTAGCTACATTCGAAAATAATATATGACATATTTAAACAATATTATTTATTTAAATCTCTCATTCTCAAAGAAGAAAAACTAATAATACGATTGACCAAACAAAACCGAGTATTTTTTTAAATCTATTTAATATCAAATTTCGTTGCAATTGTCTTAGCAATTCGGACGTATAAATGTACCGACGGTACTTTTATTTAAAAATTCATTTCTTTAAACAAAAATATGTAAAATTATTCCGAATGTTGACATAAAACGAATAATACTTATTATAAAAAATTTGTCTTCATAACATGTTGTAAGGAGTAGATATAATATATGTTTGTTTGTAATCTGTTTCTTTAGAGTTTGAACTATAATCAAAGGACATTATTAATTTTGTTCAAGTAGGTAATTATAAACAATTTTACGTTGTCTCTTACCTTTCACATGAACTACTTCCCGTTATTTTAATCGCGCATGTTATTTCCCGTTATATTCCTGATAAAATATGGTTATAGGATAATTACTGTTAAAACTGTTATTTGGCTTTTAAAAGTTGGAAGCAAGAATAGCGTGTGATTTCTCGAGTCTTTATTGAAAAGAGTTTATGTATAAAATATTACGTTTCAAGATATTATTCTAGCATCTCAAATATACAAGGAAGTGCCTATCTAAGATATAACAAATTATGATTTAATTTAATGCCGTATTGACCTTCGACAGCGCAGGCGAATTTAAGTTACAACTTTATCACTTTATCAGTATATTAAATAGTTCTTATAATCCATCACCAAAAAATAAATGTTTAATTACATTTTAAGACTCGTAATCTTGTAAATGCAAAATCGATAATTCTACTAAGCATTTAATGTTTGTTTTTAACAAATGTTTGTCTTGACTCTTGACTAGGTGTAATATGATGAAATAAACAAGATCTATGTCTAAATAAAGAAAATATACCAAGTTTGATTAGATCATAAATTTGTTATCGTTGACTGATTCAGATTCTAGGTTTGTTTGTACTTGACATTTGACTCAGTTGGACGACAAACAAGTTTTATTTACTCTCATAATTAACGAAGTAGTGGAACGTTATACTTTATTTATAATGATATCGCATTTTATCCTAAATAAGAAGAATTTATTTTAGTACATCTTTCTTGTCTCTTTTCTGTGTAAAAACGAATTCAGTTCCATATATTCTTTGTATTATTAATTATCATACTTATCAGAACTCTGCAGCTCATCATAAATAAACAAGTTTTTGTACTTATTTATAAATTAGCTGGCGTGTTATTTTACATATAATTCTCGAGAAATAAATCAACAAAATAAGTATTTTTTTTTCACTTTAAATAACTGAAATGATAATATAAATACCTTTATTGAATCCTAAGCTGACAGTGCATGTAATATTCGAAAAGTGCATATCAACTGTTTCCCTTAGTGGCGAGTTTAGCTTTCTAGAAGTATTCGCCTCCTGGACTTCTGGATGAGGCAGGGATATTGCCACGTTCCCCTCTGCCTCATTTTTATAAGACACACTACCGTCATTAACAATCTCTGCTCCGGCGAGCATCATCGTCCCGATACGCGTGCGCGTTTGGACACAGCGCGCGAATGAATGCGCGTACGCCTATAGCATGTACCGTGAAATGCGCTATCAATTCTTTGTCCAGTAATTGCACGTTTGTATGATACCGGAGACAATTCGTAAATGAACGTTTTGAATACATTTTCATTGCAAACAATGCGTTTCATTAAACATTAGTGGAATAAAGGACTGTTTGCTCGTTCTCGCTTAACAAAGTGGGAATGACTTTTGCTAATGTAAACAATATGAGTTGGGTACTCTAATTGTTTATAGTTACTTACGTTAATAGGATATTTAGATTTATTTATACTCTATTTGACGATTTTTGCAGCAAGTCAAACGTTTACATTAATAAGTTTACATTAAAAAAGTTTATATTATGCAATGCAAAGAAATAATTTTATATGGTGGTTAAATATTCTTCAAACATTTTTCTTATTTGTTTCTCATTCATAAGAACCTTCTCCTCACAATAACAAACACAACAAAAAAAGAATTAGCGAAATCGGTCCAGCCGTTCACGTGTGATGGCGTGACCAAGGGAAATGGGGATTCATTTTTAAATATAGATTTTACTTTCGTGTTTTGTTTGGGAAGATATTTTAATTTATCTATTTTATAGTTTAGCTATTTATAGTTTATCTATTGACAGTATAAAAAACGTCTTTTCCCGCTTTTTGTACACGGAGATCTTTTTATAATAGACAACGGATTTATAATACAGGACCACGCGGGCGAAGCCACGGGCGGAAAACTAGTACCTATGTTATAATTATATGTTTTTTGTTCATTTAACCATAACATTATACTACACATACAATACATTTATTTGTCTAAGTTCAACTAATTTGATTCTAATAACTAATGTGTAGCTCGGTGGCGTATTGGATAAGCGCCTCGGCCCGCGATCGTTGTCGTTAAGCAACTTTCGCAAGGGTCGGTCATGGGATGGGTGACCAAAAAAAAAATCATCTCGAGCTACTCCGTGCTTCGGAAGGCACGTTAAGCCGTAGGTCTCGGCTGCATTTGCGGTCGTTAATACCCTCCAATCCGCATTGGGCCAGCGTGGAGGGTCATGGCCCATCCTCCTTAACCATCCATAAGGAAGGCCTGAGCCCCTGTAGTGGGGACGTAAAAGGGCTGATGATGATTCTAATAACCGATTTTTATTTGCCCTTCATAGATTATCAAAGATAGCTACTAGCGGTACGGCTGTTACAGAGTACTCCGTTTACGTAGAATCCGTTCTTATATACGGGCGATCATATTGGGTAACAGTACAAACATTAAAAAGCCTTTGTTGCTCAAAAAAAGTATGAGGGCGACATGTGGTGCTGTTCCTGATAAACCCTGCAAATCTTTATTTAAATCTTTGAAAATATTAACCTTACCTTGTTTATACATTTTTGAAGTCGCTAAATTCGTAAAACAACACGTGGGTCACTTTAAACGGGCAAAAAATGTATAGGATAGGGGAGTCCGGGTAGTTGAACCCCCATTTACATAATCATGTATAAAATCGTAACCATGACTCCAAACTTCACAGGTTTTGGTATGTATAAAGCGTTGGTGGAAAAGCACATTTCCACAATGTTACAGTTGCAATTATATTAATACTTTGGAAGATATATCTGGACCTGAAAAGCATTAGGTCGGATGTATAAAAACTGTATAAAAACAGAAATAGCTAAATGCAATCAAAATATTTGAAAAAGTCGTCTGATCCGACTTTATGCATGACTGTTGCTCATGAGTAAAAAGGCACAAACATACAAGAGTTAATTTGCTGGAAAGAGAAAAAAGAGTGTAGCAACGTTATGGCGATAAGTGATTTTAGCTGGTTCTGCACATCCGACCTAATGCTTTTCAGGTCCAGATATACATTTGTATATTTTTTCACTTGTGGCTCATGTCTCCCCAACTCATGGGAGAGTTGACCATAGTTATGGGGACACTTGATCATAGCTATTTGTATTGGGAAAAATGAGGAAATAAATTGTAAAATTATAAAAAATTATTAGAAAAATGTCTCAAACTTTAACAATAACTGTTTCTTACAAAATCGAGAGTCGGTATTTATCATTATAATTTAAATAAAATTGTTTAAACAAAACAATCAACATAATATAAAATCAACATATAAATTGTAATGAATAGTCACAGATCTGTAAATTATGACAAACAAAGTAACTTTCGTAAAAAATAAAAATAAACAAATTCAAAATCAAGTTACATTTCCATAGATAAAATCATCTTTAGACGTCAAGTTATAATCCTTAAATTTCACATTCATTACAAATGAAATTTCCGCCATCTTCATTGGTCAACCCAACACTATATGTCGTGAATATATCGCTTGCAAGAAATATAAATTTTCATATCTAAGATTTGGTCTCTTTGGCATACAAAACAATACATTACTGTCTTTAAATTTGAGGCCTGTTTCACGATCGTCATCATGTACTTTGCTTTCATTTTTGCTACTTGTCTTTCTCCTTATTTTTCTTCTTTTTTGGTTTCATAGTTTTCTCTTTAACTGATATAATATTTTTGGTCACATCAATTTCAGACTCACACTCTGTTTCACTCCCACTATCCTGAAGGATTTGTTTTTTCGTTTTCTCCACATTAGACTTTTTTCCTTTCTTCTGATTATTTTTGCTAATTTTAATTTCTTTACAGAACCCACTTACACCAGGTAGTGGATCATCTGTAGTCCTTTTCATTGTTTTTCCTGGCTGACTACCACCCCATGTCTTATGGCTTTATTGCTTCTGGTGTTACAAGCGTGTTTTTTAAATGTTAAGGCTAATTTTGAGTTGATAAGGCTGAAGTTGAAATATTATCAGGATTATTCGGGTCACTCACAGCTGATTCAGAAGAGATATATCCATGACGTTCTGGTAGAGATAAATTCTCGTCATCAAGATCGTCATGCTGCTCTTGTAACGGTAAAGATTGATCAATTGCATAAGACTGCATATCATTTGCTTCGGTTTGAAGTAAACTAAAGGAGGTTTCAGAATGATTTAAAGTCTCGGTCAAAAGAAATATTAGGGATGGCATGTAAATTGTCCTGTGAATCTGATGTGGCTGCATGAGCAGTGAAAATAAGTTAAGCCTCACGACTAGGAGCTGAATTGGAATCTGCAAAGAGTAATTCATCATTTTAGAACATTTATCCTATTCTATCTTAGGACAGGCTTGCACAGTGGTACATCCTGTCTCATCACAATTATAAATATTATGAGCTTCAAATTTATATCTTTCTCTAACAGATCTCAAATTTTCGAAAAATTATCCAACATTCTTTTTGTTAAAATTGGTAGCTCTGGAGAAACTCGTTGCTTCAGGAGTACGCAAGCTAATTTCAAGGTTTCTATGAAGAAAGCCACGCAACCAGCCCTTTCCTGCAGAGATATTTCTTGACCAACTGTTTGGAATCTTTTTGGAGTTTGATGAGGTAAATTCAAATGCTAATTTCATTGCTTTTGTTTGAGTTAAACCATAATTCATTTTACTACAATTCAATAAGTAATCAATGAAAAGTTTTTCTTCTTTAATCGTAAAAATCTGTGAAGATTTGTATCTGCAGGTTTTCATCGTTATTAATGTATCGACATAAAGTAGCTCTATCGATTTCATATTTGATTGCAGTTTTACTTAGAGAAGTACCAGAGCTTACTTCGAGAATAGCATTTTATATTTCCTGTTTAGTCACTTTTTTGCCGTTCGAACCTATTCTGGATTTATATTGAAACGGCATAATATCCGCACCTAAAAACAGAAAAACAAAAAGTTAAATGTTAAACATACTTATGGGACATTTGAACCTTCGAGCATGTCTCCCTCACCTACCCTAGATCAAATCTCCCCAACCTAACCTTCATTCAATCTTCCCTAGTTGAAGTTACGTTCTCAAATTTATGGTTAATAATTAATTCAAGTGATAAACGCACCTTAATATCTGTTGGAGTAATTTTAAATAGTAAAAAGTCCAGAATTTTCACTTTAAACCGGCGAAAAAATGCGTTTGTTTTGCTCACTGCCGACCGTAACTAGCTTCAGTCAATATGGCGCTGCGCAAATGTCAAGCATCGAATAAAATTGCCACTTGCCGTCAATGAACCCGATGGCGCGTAATTTGAACGAATTATGCGAGGTGGATCATCTCTCCCACCTGATCAAGTGTCCCGGACTCCCCCTACTCAATACCAGAAATTGTGATGGATTGTTTGATATTTTGCAAGTGGAAATAATAATTGTATTTAATAATAGTTTAATGAAACAATGATACTTATAATTTAATAGTTTTGACATTAGATATTATATACTTTGTAATTTTATCAATATTTGAATGCTATTGCTGACGGTTAAATGGGCTGAACTCGAATTATATTTCAATCTACAGTGTAAATATTTTTAATCTTATTTCTTAAGACAATGACTGAGTTAGATGGCAGAGGATTAGAGGGGACTAGAAAGTGGAAATTACATATATTTTGTGGAAATATGATGGAAATAGAAGGATTCTTCTATCACTATTCATTGAATACTTGTGATCTTTTCTTTCTTTCTTTCATTTATTTGTGGCAACAATAGTCATACATAATTAAGTTACTTAAAATACACTTATTTATATAACTATTAAATAAGTGTATTTTAAGTTATTTATTAACGTGCTATCGTTTTACTAACATAATATTTGATGGAAAGACTTATTTAAATAGTTTGTACATAAACATAGAAACAAATTGTTTGATTGGAAAATACATTTTTGACTTAGAAGACAAAAAAAAATAAAATGAAGCGCTATCATTCCATTAAACAATAATTGATTACAATTAAAGCTCTTTTTTTATTATAGTAGTTGAGAGCATCGGTTATAAATCTAAATAAAAAAAGTTAAAGTTAATTTCTTACAATTTGTTGTGCTAAAGTTTTCTTTAATTTGCTATGGGAAATATTAAAAAGATCTACATTAGTAAAATTTCTGTAATACATGTTAGTGGAACGTTATATAAAACAATTTTTAGTAAAAAGTTTATTTAGATTTGGGGGAGTGAAAAGTAAACGTTTACGAGAAGAGCACTCTGGAAGTCGGATCCGGGATATGAAACGAATTCTACCTAAGAGAGTCGGGGAGTTAATGAAGTTGTTTAGTATTTTGTATAGTAATACTATATCGAATATTTTCC